GAGAAAAATTGGCATACGGTCTCGTAAGCACAATCTCTTCTCGGCGACGCTTCCATTCAGCACAGTCGAAAGGACGTACGTTACGACCCAAAAACTTGTGTGTCTTAGGATCTGTTGTAGCCATAATTTTGTTATACGACGCCATATGCCCAAACAACTTCGCTTTTCAGACGTCATAAATTGCTCACCACATGAATAACGCACCCCCAGTACGTCAAAAGTCGAAGGAGTGCATTGTGAGAACACGGACGGAGGTTTCCAGACGCATCCGAAGCGTACTCACCCTTGTCGTCAAACGGCGGAGCTGTTGCAGGGCGAAGGGGCAAAAAACGGGCACCAGGCACAGGCGGGGGTGGACCAAGCAGACGGGTCAGCACATGGTTGGGCAGCAATGGAAGACGCATTCGTATCAGGTGCTGTCACACGGCGGACGGTCAATGACAACGAAGCCACGAAAGAGACGGAGGATCGACGGGGTTCCCTACGAGTGTAGAAGAAAGCTCGTGTGCGGTCCAAGAAGAGTCCCGGCGGACAACACTACTAGAGTCTTAACGAACAGTAGAAGACGAGGTTCTCGTTCCTTCTTCATCACGAGACGACGAGGTGAGCAGGGATGAACCGCTCGATGTCTTACCTCCCTGTCGCCCACACCACAAAGGTACTGTCGAAGTGGGTTTGTCATGTCTAGTACCAGCATACGATGAGGCGGACGACGAGGAGGCGGGCCGAGAAACTAGATGTGATTGAGGAGCGTGGGGAGTATCCAACATCTTGGGAGACTCCAAAAGGGTGCACGGTGGTGCTGTTGACGGTAGTGCCGGCTGACCTCCGCCACCGGCGTGTCATTCTTACCCCTCCAGCCCCGCTTAGCTGAAGTTGAAGCCGGTGACCACTTCGTGGAGCCAGGGCCCCTCGGCAGCAGTGATGAGTGTTGACCCTCTACCTAACGATGATCGGGACCCTTTTCTGTTGCACTACAGTGATTGGCCGTTGCAAGGACACTTCCAAGAGGTGTAGACTACAACGTCGCCAGTGAGATGGCCCTCACCAAGGGTAATCCGCCATTGTTCACCCCCTTGGTCTCGGCTGAAGAACGCCGCAACGCGCTTCGACTGTACAAGGGCAAGTACCTCAACTGCGTAGGAGAAGACCACAAACCCATCCGGTGACCCAGGTGGATGAAAGTCTGCTTGCGCTTGACGTCGCTTTTGTTGAGGATATCTGTGACCACACCCTTGCAGCTAGACGCAAAACGAGCAAATTCATCAGGGTCAGGGCCAAGGGGCAAGCATGTGACACTATCTAGTTGTTCCGGCTTCAGCTTTTCCATCTTGTCTTGGATGCGGATGTTGTCGGCCTCCGCTGCAGCGGCGTCCGCGGCATCCAAAGCCTCCTGCCTCTCTCTCGCTCCCGTGGCAGACAAAGGCAAGCCGGCACCGTCCTGGGTCAACGGCGATGTCCCTTGCCCCGGTGTCGCGACGATGTGGCCGGTCGCAGAGCTAGGATCAATAAGAAACAGACGCACGCTGGAGCGGGGGGGGCGACACCACCAACGGCTATGGCAACACGGCTGGGACTGCCGACGCTGACGGCACCACCGCAGATCCGACCGGTACTGCCGTCGACATCGTGGCTGATGACGATGAACCTGACGTGGCCCTTGTAGCGTTCTCTGCACGAACACCGCGCCGTACAGGAGCACCAGAAGAACTCGAAGCATGGTCTTGCAGCGGTGTCAGGTGCGTTCGTGGCGAAAGGGATGGGGCAGGTGGTGGCACGCTAGAAGCGTGCGAGGGCACAGGAGGTTGTATATTCGTGTCGGCACCAGCATCCACAACTTGACCCGGCGGTTGTGCTCGCAGGAGAGTGAATACTTATTCCAACAGCATTTCAATAAGGGAAGCCGAAGTCGAGGCGTGTGATGCAGCATGGCGTGGTGACTCAACACGCTCGTCCAAAGGCAAGGAAGGTGTGGGACGATCCGTATCGGCGTGTGTAGGGGCATGGCTTTTTACAGCGGCTGAGTGTTCACGAAGTTGCAGCATGGCGTGGTGACTCAACACGTTCGTCCAAAGGCAAGGAAGGTGTGGGACGATCCGTATCGGCGTTGGTAGGGGCATGGCTTTTTACAGCGGCTGAGTGTTCACGAAGTTGCAAGTTGGCAAGTGTGGACGCCAAAGAAGACACGGTTGGCTGGCCTACATTAGCAGGTAGGCGCAATACAAGTGGTGAAGAACATACGGAACCGTCTTCTGAAGCAGCCTTGTTTTCCCCCAACAACCCAGAGCTACGAAAATCAACCTCGATCATATGTCACTTGCCTGTTACCGTGGCCTGGCTTCCGCCCCCCTTTTCCGCCGCGACCGCTGTCAGTGCTGGTCGCCCTCCTGTTGCCCCCGCTCCGATTCTGGCTCCGGCTGCGGCTACGCCTAGACGAAGGCGTGTTGCTCCCACGACGGTCTCCGCTCCTGCTGCGACCACGCCTAGACGAGAGCTTGGTGCGTTGGTGACGTTCTGCGCTCCGGCTCCTGCTCCGGCGGGGGGCGGCTCGCCGGCGAAGACCTGGTAGGTTGGGTCACGGCGGCTTGCCCTCTCCCTCCATCGCCGGTGCCGCGCCCTCGCGAAGACTGGTCGGACCGGCGGCGTTCGTCCGTGCCGCTCTTGGCCGTCGAATCTTGATCACCCCAGCGGTCCTTCCGGTTCCTAGACGCCGGAGCCGCCGGCCGACTGTAGTCCTTGTCCCCTCCAGGAACACGGGCAGGGCGTCAAGAGGCCAGACGGGAGGCCTGCAGATCGTGGTGGAAGTCGTTGGTCGAGGCAGTACGAGCAAGAGACAGCTCGGATTCACCTCCGTGGGTCACCATCGATGTTCCTTGAGGGTCCTTCCTAAAGGTGGCACGCTGGAGAGCGAACAAGAGCTGGAACACGGACCTCCGCGGATAAGACGGAAGCTTCGTAATGTAGTTGGCAGAAAAGATGTGCGCAAATGCAACAGTGTGAGGGTTGCGGAATTGAGCGCGGGCGAGTTGTTTCATGCCAGCCCAGGCAAAATGAGCATCCATGTGATCCTCATCGTGAAAAAGGACGTCCCCGGCTGGCATCTCCAGTGGGCGGGGCAGGAACGCTGCATCGCCCGTCTCGAACTCGTACACCTTGCCTTCGGCAGCAGTCCATGCTCCGTCTTCATCACCCGTCGGACTGCTCATCGTAACCGAGAAGTTCGGAGTAGCCGCTTCTCCCGCCCCTTCTCCTTTGTCAAGGTGGTACTGCGAGAACCAAGAGTCACCGAGTGCGCTGCGACTGCGATTGGGGAGGGGCAATAACACGACGATGGGGAGAGGGCGAGGACAATGCCGCTGCCTGCGGGCCATGGGGGCGCAGCTCGAACTTGAGGTGATCCAGCCGTGATTTGAGCGCCCCATGCTTCGCCATAGCATCTTGTATGTACGCCTCGCGCTCCGCCATAGCAGCTTGACGATCCTCCTGCTTCTTCTTCACAGCGGCCGCCAGAGCAGCCTCACTCTCCTCCTCCTGCTTCCTAGCAGCGGCAGCCAGAGCAGCCTCACGCTCTTCCTCCTGCTTCCTCGCAGCAGCAGCCAGAGCAGCCCCACGCTCCTGCTCCTGCTTCCTCGCAGCGGCTTTCTCGGCTTCAACGGCAGCGTCGCGCTCCGCCTCCTCGCGCTCCGCCACTGCGACCTTCCCGGCCAGACACTTGCACCACATCTTGTTCAACCTTCGATAAGCCGAAAACAGAGAAAAGGAGGATTATCTAATCTATGTATGGAACACTGGAAGCGAGGCCCCACACACGGCAGTGTCGCAGCGTGGACAATGTCATAAACAAGGCGCTCACGACATTCAAGACCCAGGTACACCTTTGCTTGACCTGACTTTACTCCACGCGGCAAAAGGCTGCCCTCGCTCATGTGAGTGTCCTTGCAAACTTTCACACTCTGAGCATTGCGGCGCCAAGGTTGAATGGACAGTCCTGTGTCCCGAATCTTTTAACTCGAAATAAGCGTTTCATTATTTCTTGGCGGCGACTCGATTTATGAATGGACGACAGTATGGCATCATCTCCAAAAAAGGTAAATAACTGACACCCCGCACATCGATATGTCATGATCGAGTTCACTATACCGCGGAATCGAGGAGCTTCGTCGGCATTCATTCCACGCGTGAGTGGGGCCTTCTGATTTCATCCAAGGAATGATGAACACTGCTACAGCGGTGCAGTCATGACAAGAACGTGTATTAGTATCCGATGGCTGCCGATTCCCCTGAGACCTCCTTGCTCGACTGCAGTGGCTGTGAATGACGCTCCAGTAGAAAACAGAGAACCCGTGGGCCCGGAAGTGAACACCTAAAGCTGCGAAAAATGAGCACAAGGCGTAGGAGCCTCCCGGTAGACGTTGAGGCTGACTGTTGCCGCTGTCCATTTCCGGGTGGTTAATGAGCACGAGCAGGGTTGTGGCATACTAACCGTATTTTACTCCTCCTGTAGTCGTTTGCTTTAAACGTTTCAACGAAAACTCCCACTTATCAAGTGCCGCCCCTCTGCAAGTTTTGTCCGGGTGAGGGGCAAGGGTAGTTCTCCACGTTCTTGCACGATACACAAAATGTAATGAACAAGCGGTCCCGCTGCCAACTCTGGGGTGCGGTTCCCAAATGCAGTCGCTGTTGTGTACGTAATCGTATTCCGATTCGGGTGGGGTTCCCCTGCCAATTTCAGGTTGAGGTTCCTTCATCCAGCGGTTCCCCAACGTTGGTAGAGGTGAGGTTTCCCAACGCAGAGGTTTCCCAACGCAGAGGTTCCCCATGTGCATGGAACGAGAATGTTCCCTGCGGCGGAGGCCCAGTTGCTTCGAAGCCAACGGAATTTCCCTCACGCGCTGGCTCCCTTTGCACTGCTATTCGCGTGAAAGGTCCGTATTGCCGAGGTTCCCAAATGCATGGCACCGGTAGTACTCGAATCCCAGAACATTTCTGGTTCATAACTGCAAAGTGTTTGTGCTGCGTCTTGATCACATATTTACAACCAGTCAAGGCCAACGGTTCATTGTCATGAAACAACCACAACACCAGCAACGGCGAAGTTCATAAAAATGAACATTCACGAACCAGCCCCCTGATATTCAAACCGCATCCATCAACTCTATTTTCGCGAGGGCCGTGTGCACCTTCTACATTAATCATTAATTTTACATGAAAAGCTTCCGGCCTCACACTGGGACCAACCTCAAAAGCACGCCAGAGCCACTACTGTTGGAGAAAACCCTCCAAACGTCGACGTTCGCTTGAGCTTCTAGAACCAACGCCGCCCCTCTACCCTGGTCAAAATGCCACCAGCCATGAACGATCGTCCTCCCCCACCCGCTACCCACGAAACTTATGCAAGGCGCGTCTACCCGACTTGGTCCTGCCCACCGTACTCGTCGTCTACCCCATGGTAGGCAATCCAAGAATGGGCCAGCAATCTCTACCGTACTGGAATGGGCTCGATGGCATGCTGGTGCAGAACCTGAACGGCTTCTATGACCAGTTAGAATGTAAACCCTGGATGGGGTGTATCCCTGGCAATGGTCACTGTGCAGTAACAGTGTGCAGAGGCTCACAGAGCGACTGTGAACTACACTTGTGTTGTAGACCGGACAAAATGTTCGAATTCGCGCTTTATCGGCCGAAATGATAGAAAGAGAAAGGGAGAGTCCTGAGACTCGCAAGCGTCCCGAAGAACCTTCAAGAGGTCATGGGCCTTGGTAGATGTACGAAGAAAGGAAAGAGGGAGAGAGTGTGAGAGAGTGGGGGCGAGCACCACGGGGGCGAGCCATCGATTCTCATCCCGAAAGAAAGACACACACGGGCTATTGCAACGTAACGATCACAGGATCAGGTGGCTAGTCCAATGTGTAACACCTGTACAATAATATCCAATAGGACAATGGTCCGATGTACCATACTGCTATGGTTACGTTACACAGTTAACATACCGAAGATCGCTCTCGTGATACTCCTTAGGTGGTTACCTAACTACTGATGTTCACAACAGCATAAACACTAATATTGACTGAGATTGATCTTTTCGACATTCCGGACGTACGAATCATCCTCATGTTCCCGCCCCTTCTGCATCATCGCCGCTGCCGCCGCTGCGGCCTCTGCGGCCGCTTCTGCTGCTGCCACCGCCATGCTGTTGTAGTTTTTCTCCATCCCCACCGCCCCTGCCTCCTTTTCGTCTACGTTGTGAAAGCCTTTGCTCCTACCCGACACTGTCCCAAACCCCGATGGCTCTTCTTTTTTTTGCTCCGACGAATTTGCTACGGCTACAGCGGCATTTCCAGGACGGTCAGTTGTTTCCTTTGGGTCCGCGGCGAACGCGGGTGGCCTCCCCATATATCTGTTGTTTCTCCGGTCTTGTTGCCTTGCCTCTCTGCCGCGCAGGTAACTGTTCGTGGCTGCTGTTACCGAACGTTGTTCGGTGAGAACATTGCGGGGGGGGGCATTTGTTGTGGTCGCTGCTAAGGTTGAGGGGTGGCGGACGCCGCTTGTACCACGTCCACCACCGCTAGCGGAATAATCCACGCCGTCGACCGAGGGCGCTGATTTGGATCGCGCGTATTCGGAGAAGACTACGAGGAGCAGAGCCGTTGCCAACACCAGCAACGTCATCCTGGGGGTCACCTGCGTGCAGGTACGCAAGCATCCGATGGAACTATTTAGGTCTATGTCATTCATCACTTGGAATGCGGACGTTGTGCGGGAAAACCTACTTGAAATCCTTTCGGGAAGCTTTCAAGTCCACGCAAACCACACACACACCTCAGCTGAATATCCAATAGTTGCTCTCCATTGTTTCAAACTGGCCAAGAGACTTGCAGTCGGCCTGAGACAAGGACCTACTGAGGAGGTGGAACATTTGCTACGTCGCACGTTATCTGACGGAATCGAAACAACAACAACAACAACAACAACAACAACAACAACAACAACAACAACAACAACAACAACGGGGAAGTGAGAATGAGCGATTGAAAAACGTTTAAGTGCCTTCAGACGACACACTCGCCCTTCTTGGCACAACTCCACCGACCCTCGAACCGGCACTGCGGCCTCTCCTGTGCATCTTGCTGTTCGGTGTCTCTTTGCTGCCCGCTGTAGCTTCCTGTCTCTCTGATTGTTTGTGGTGCAGCCTCCTCGTGTGAAGCCACCTTCGCTGCCGATCCTTCCGGCGCTATCCGATCAGATGCTCGTGCTGTCACCGCCATGGGAATCAACATTTCGGGAACGGGGCGGCAAGTAAAGTGCGGACCATCATCATTGGCGCAGACGCCTTTTTGGCCTACTCCGCCAACATCAGCGGACTCGTGGGCAGAGTGTCGGGTCTGCCTGACAGGCACCCGCGACTGGTTTCCAGAGGTATGAGCGCGGGCGACCATGATTCGGGTCATGGGTTCACACGAAACCCCGAGGCAACGAAACATCAAAAGTGATGCCCTATTTGTTCCAGGGCGTACATACATCCGGTCGCCCCGGTGGTCTCATCCTCGCAGCCTACTTTGGGCCAGGTCATGGGTTCGAGTCCCAGCATCTTGAGTTTTTTCTCTCTAAATGAATCCGGGTCAAAGTTGGAAGCGACGCGCTGCAAAGCTCGTGGTTAGTAAACTGATCGACTTCATCGTCGATATCGACTTAGCCGTCGTGAGGGAAGGGATTGCTGCATCCTCCTTGAGTTAAAAATATCTCAGGCAGGAACCGCAGGAGGGAGTTCAGCCCCCCCCTCCTATGTGACTCCGGTTGGGTCGTCTAGCTAGTAGTAGAAGTGAAGGATGGGGCCAGGGGCAGACGACAGAGTCTCATGATGAGAAAAAATATATATACATACCACATACATACATATATTGCCTTTCGTTCCACAGTTTCGGGCGCCGGAGTAGTAATAAGATGTGTGCGTGTATGTATTTGTTTGAGTATCTTCTAGTTTTCAGTTTTTGGAGGTGATTTAGTGGTGGTGTTTGATAGTTTTTGGTAAAACGAACGAACTATCCAAGGCCATCACGGAAAAACAAAAAAGGAGTCAAAATTCTTCGCACGCTGCCAGTATAGCCCTGATAATTCCCGCGCGACGTCATTCGCCGTACGCTACCCGAGGAGAACGATACCCCGCGGCCTTCCTCGTCATGTCGAAGGCCTCGCTTATATCCACCTGTCATGTACCCTCCGACTAGCGCAAGCGAGCGTGTAGTGACATACATTGTGCCATGCGTGAATATGCTCCCCCGTCCGCTCGCGTGGTGATTCATTGAAAGCGGGTACGGACGGCGTGACACGATGGAGATCTAGTCGGAAAAGAGTCTTATCGCTTGAAGGAAAACGGGGAAAGTTTTCTTGAGTGAGTGGTGCGCTTAGCCCAGTACCATGCCTCGGCATAATGCCCGAATCTTGCGTGACCTCACACTTTAACTTCTTACAACGCCAAATATTCATGGTCAAGCACGATCACATGGCTACCTCCAAATACAGAACAGCTCCTTCTTTTGCAGTGAAGTCCTTTCAGTAGTGCAGTAAAGTGTCGCTGCTGTCTGCACTCATACTCGTGTTGTTGACGATTGCCGCTGAAAACAAAACCTGGAAAGATTCGGACAAAGCGACGCAGGCGACACGTGTCGAGTTGACATTGATACGATCATCGGGAGTTACGTAGCTGTGGTTCCTGCATGGAAACGCCGACAAATGAACAACGGAAGGTGGTATGGCGTTGATCGTTCATGGGCGTTTTCATTAGTAGTCACGCCACACCAGCCCAAGCGGGTCGTGGCAAACTCCGTCCAGGGCTACCGTCACCCTATATATGATCGCATGGAGCCTAAATGTACAAGAGGCGCACCTTGTGCTGGTCCATGGATCTGACTGCGACTCGTTTTCACGATGTAACCAACATTGCTTCAAAGCCCCGCGTTTGCACGCGCGAATGGCGCACAAACACCGCGGGGCGCACAAAATTAGCACCGCAGTGCGCGGCGTAGTACATGTACTTGTACGCTATCTTCGCGAGTCAAAAATATCGTTCATCAAAGCACCGCGGCGAAACCAGCGCGACACAACCAGGCGGTATCAGATGTGCTGTGCGTAGTTATTACCGATACACACAAAAAGTGACAATATTATCAGAGACCCTCGCGCTAGCCATTGCATAAACAAATACAAGTTGGTTCACGGAAATGGATACAACAATATTCAACGTGAAAACCTTAAGCCGTTTTTAGGAGTTTGGACGTTAAAACTATACTACGTGTCCGTTGGGTAAATGCGAAACACTGTGCTGTGTAGCGCCGCCTTTTTTTTTCTGTCGCCGGATATTCGGGGTGCGACGGGTTTCGGGGTCATGTGTGCGGCTCCTGGGACCCCGAATAATCGGCGACAATGAAAAAATAAAACAGGGCGGCCCCACACAGCGTTTGCCCTCAAACTATTCGTATCCGCGAGGCCCACACTTCAACCCCCCGTGTTGCGCCAGCTTTACAAGTTATCCACAAAACTTTCGGGAAATCTTCGTTGCGCTGTTGAGCGGGAAAAAATATGATAGTGCGTGATATTCAGGTACTTGGAACCGACTCTCGGGGGTCCCACTCCAAAGACCCTTCAAAGCCGGTCAGGAGTCCACACATTCCCTCCGTTTCTTTTTTCGGGGCACTTTGTTGAACCCCACTGTCAAATTTCAGGACAGAAAAATATTTCGTTGGATATTTTCAAGGCAAAACCAATACGAAGGTCTCTGTATTTTATCCCGCACAATCCAGTGGAAATTCGACGACGCTCAATCGCGACAGTCGAAACACTTACCATTTTGGCCATTGCTTGCGCCCACACTAAGCGTTTTCTCTTCTTTTCCTGAGACACGTGCCCTAGAACAAATGGGTTACTTTGTTTCAAAACTTCGGTAGCGTTGGTAGTGCGGTGTTGCAGGGATTTCTTACGTTTGATCATGTTGAAGGCTTCTGATGTGCGTCAGCCTGTAGGTCATGGCTCTGATCGAGATTTCGACCATGACGACTTGTTGTTCCCTTGCTCATGGGGGTCAATAAGATACCACATGCAATGCGTCAATACTGTGCTCAAATTTCGTCTGGCAGCTAACCTGTGGTCGAACCAATTATGGTTCGTATCCGTGAACCGGCTTGAAAAATCATGCGTACTTCATGGCTACGACACGCCACGCTTCAAATGGTCTCGACATCATAGTCGACACACACCGTCCGAGAAAAACAGGGACATTATTCTACTGCTGTCCATGTTGATCGCCGCGTTTTGCTTTTGTTCTCCCCCACAAAACAAGGAATGAACTCCATTCAAATACTCCAACGTAACTTCTATCACCCCTTTCCATGCTATACGATGTATACCACTCCTGTCCAACGCGTATCACTTGCGCTCATAGCACAAGGTTATCAAATGCCGCATTTGAAAATTTCAAATGAACAGGAAAAAGCTGCTCTAGACTAATATAGGCTAAACTACAAGATTCAAATGTAGATTCAAATAGATTCAACAAGTACAATTGAGTAATACGCCAGCCAGAGAGCTGTCGAACGACACAGCACCGCCGTGTTCCCTGTGAAGGTCGCATTTTATTTAACACAGATACGGCGGAGGGCTTCTCCCCGATATATTTGTCGTTGACCCTGTAGAGAACCACCAGGAGAAAATGGAAAATGAAATATAGTGTTCTACGGTACTGTAGGTTTCGATAGACTCGAAAAATAACCAGTTCCAGTCGGCTTCCCTCCACTCACGGAAAAGAGTTCATCCAGCACACCTTTTCTTAACATTTTGTTTGGCGGGTAAACCAGCTTGCTTTTGTTTACCGTAGGTGACACAAGGTACCACCCCCCCTGGACCGATGTTTCAGGCTCAGTTACTCCACAAGGGAGAGGATCATAGTCTAGACTAATTGAAAACAACATCTAACTAGTGTCAACCCCCGAAATATTTGTGTAAGGAAACGCGAAATTTTTCATCTTAGGAAGTTCCTCGTCTACCTTCTTAGTACGCATACGAACTGCAATACGACAATCGCATGAACCTGTCAAGGAGAGTGTCCCGGTTTACAGCGGACGATCGCCAACATTCCCTCACATTTGGGGTTGCTTAGACTAAACCACGGCCACACTCCCTGCTCCGTCTTCTCATTAGTACGGGAAGACTCCGAAGTTGCCAATAGATGATGATTCCCGTGGCAACACCACAAGTAATCTACAGCAAACACGTCATCCTCGGCCATGATCACGTACCGGTACTATTTAGCACCGCAGCAGGCGCCACCACTGCTGGATCTCGGCTAGCAATACCTCAGACTAAACTACGGCTTTCTGGAAAAAATGGCGCAAGTAGACCTTCTCACGGACGGTGCTGCTGCTGGTTTCGAAAGCGTCATGAGTGCGGGCACCTCTACAGGTATCGCCGCGTCGTGATGCTCCGATGTCAATCCAGGATTCGAACGCGTATGCACACATTACTATCCATGCTGTAGTCCGTGATTGTGACATCCATGGCTGGCTCCTCTCAACAACCACATGCCGCTATCCCTGTCTCATGTTGGGTATGACCAGGTACGAAGGGCTTGCTAATGTGAGCCGATAATCTTCAGTAGATTAACATCCTCTCACATTCTTGCCTGCTCTCCGTATCGCTGCCTACCACAGATTGGGTATCCCGCCGTCTTCCCCGTGTCCGTGTGGCACTCCAGCACAAGAACGCGAACAAACGTGAAACTGCGGGGCCTCGGCGGTCTGGGGCGAGGAATGATGATGGAAGCGCCCGCCGGCCTCCTCCGTGGTTGGTTCTCGTCTGTCCAACGCCGTCCAGAGAGGACGTGTCTTTAGGGTGCCAATGCTGCGATGTGTTCGACGGCAGAGGATACCGTATGTATGTCTGCAGGATCTGGAGGTGTATTCTAGCGGTTGTCCCTTCGCTTCTGCAACGTATTTGTGGGCAAAGAGTGAATGAAACATTCGCTTCTTGTTTTGAATACCCGCTCCCAACAATCAATCTCAGCTGGCGAAGACACAGAACAGAAAAAGATGAAGTTGATGAACTTTTGGAAATCCGATTTCGATGATGACAAGCGCTCGGATCGCCACAAAGGCATACCACCACCTCTGTCTACAAACGCTCGCTCGTGAACCTCTTGCCTGCTGCGTCGTCCCGGCGAGAGCAATATTTATCTATGTGTTCTCGGCTTGGTCGTGCGGCTTACTGCTGCGCGCCTCGGTATATCGTGACCTCGCAACGTTTCTTTACAATCACCGGTACAAACAAGCTGGCGAAGATTTCCACGGATGCGAATGGTCTCCACGTGCGACACTGCTGCGCACGACGCGTGCGTGTGTCCTTATGCATGACCGTAGCCTGTAGTAATCAACGTACCATGGCACAGCCTAGCCAGTAATCGCAAATGCCATGCAACACCCGCGGATCAACGGCAAGCTAACCCTCGGATCTCGGATCCCATCGCACGAGAATCGATTTTTGGGCGCCTGAAGATCTCTGTTGTTCACGCATCGCGGCATCAACTTGTTCGTACTCGACTGATGTCCTCACCTTTTTCCCGACTACAGCAGTAGTAGTCTAGCCTTTCAGTTAGGCTGACGCTCAGTGCATTCTCTGCCAACAGCAAACCGGACACGCGGGAGCTCACAACTTGGCGTTCGGAGGAACGGCGACTTGCTCCACGTTCGAAGCATGTGCCCAACGGCTGTGGGAGCAGCGAGGTTCTGCGCACTTGTTGTCTTCACATCGTTGCTGTCTTCACATTAAAAACCGTTCAGATCTCTGTCTACCCAGTACCTTCGTATGTCCATACTGATCCAATACTCGACGCGGTCGATTCCCGTGGTCGCAGGCTAACTTACCCTAGAAAGGTACACTCAAATAAATGGCCCCGAGGGGTCCGCAAGTCATTAGAAATCAAAGATATTTTGGAGTCCTCCACTCCCTCTGCGCGCTATGCGAGGTAACAACTGAGACTAGGATTCACCATCACGGGCCGGAGAGAATGAGGTACACCCCCTTGGTTCAATCTTGGCACTTCACAACGCAAGCAGAGACAAGGCCATCTGGCACAGAAGAAGAGAGAAAAGGAGAAAAAGAGAAGAAAAGAAAAGGAAACAGGGAAAGAGAAAATTGAAATAAAAGAGTGAGGACAAAACGGGGACCAGGCCGAAAATAACAAGAAATAAGAGACAGAAAAAGGCACACGGTGGAGAGACCACTAATGACAAGCAAACGCGCAAACATGGCCACCTGTGCACAAGTGAGAGACTTCTCGGTTGTGACGTCAGGAGAGTAAAGTAACTCCGAACATTTCAACGAAGCATTGATTCATTGATTCCCGATCAACTCGTGCCTGGGCGATGGCGGTCGCACCGGCTCTCCTTTGCTTGTTTTCTGCATAGAATCTATGCATGCGGCGGAATCTCATTCATGACAGGTACAGTGATGTCTCCGGCAAATGAGGTAACGTAACCTAGGCCTTTGCTCCATCGGCCGTTTTATTATCGATTTAGATATACGCAAACTCTATTTCCATACTAATTTCAAGTAATTTTTACCTTCTTTTTGTCCGTCATACACGGCCGATGGAGCAAAGGCCTAGACTAAACGTAACCACGTATTAATAGTAACCACTCAACCACGGATGGTACCAAAAAGTCTGCCCGTGGACGGCACAATTTCTGCCGTTTCACGTTCTTCCATTCTCCATGCTTCAGCGTCCAGGAGCAGTACAGAGTAGTGTGATAGCCAAGTGCTGCTGCTGCGTGCATACGCATGGCTGGTTCGATATCGCACCGGGATTACAATAGACTTAAGGATATGTGCTTCGTGTGATTTTGTACCCCGCTAGATCGAAAAAGACGGGATTTGAACCCGCGACCACTGCTGTTCCAAACTTTCTTCGCGGTGGCGACTGATAGACAGATCCCGTCGCGCGAGAGATGGCACGCCTCCTTGACCCACTTCTGCTGTCACGATCGATTGCTCCACAAACCAGTAGGTGCGGAATGAGCCCGATCGATCTACGGAAAGCCCTAGACGAAAGTTTCCAGAATCACATGATTGTTGGTGTTGACAAGTTTTGGTTGTGGAACAATCGATCTTTGAAAATCGGTCAAGGGGGCGGGGACATTTAGATACCCCAAATACAGTGTTGTTGAGACGTCGGTTGTACATTTCCCCACGTGGGTCTATCTTCGTGCATATCCTAGAAAGAATGATTTACGTAGAGCTCGCCGCCGCATGTTGGGGTACGGGGATATTACTGTCCAGAATAAGGCATAACGAGGCAAGAGCTTCACTTGTTACAGCCACGGTGGCAAAGATACAAAGATACCCCAGCCATCGATCCTAGAAGTGTGGTTTGTACTGGCGCATTTCCGCACTAATCGGTACAGCTGGATCGAAGGAGTATCTGCTTGAAACGGCCTCGAACAAATCCACTATCCTTTCCATGCAAACCTCGTGTCCGACTGCTCGATCAACCAACACAATCTAGGCTATTGTATTTTGCAGTGTTATCGCTTCACTGCCTCAATATTGCGAGCACAGGGAGGGGTGCCCCCGACAAGAGCAAGGGCTCGGTAAAGGAGTTTGCCATCAACAGCACGCAGGTGGGTTCTACGCCTCTTTCGAAACAAAATCGAACTACAGCAATCCGTCCATGCGACCCGAGCACAGAACACCGTCTCATACGACACAATTTCACTGCGCGCCACGCTCTTGCACTGACATCGATATAATCTTGCACATCGGTATATACATCGGTGTATGGTACCACATAATGCTAACGGATCCATCCCGTAGCGGGGTTGTACTGCTCCCCATACGTGACGATCTGGGACTCTTCCTCCATTCCGAGTGAGTCCTGCTGCTGATACTCTAGCTCGTGGCGGTGCCCATAACGATTCTCCTGGTTCCGCCGCTGCCGGTCGTGCTGTTGCCGCTGCGGCCGTCGCTGTTCACGCCGTCGCTGATGCCGACTGACGGGGGGGCGCTTCGGGTCAAGCCCCCGCTCGCAACTACTCCGCCGCCTACTCCCGCCGCTGTCGATGCTGCTTGTGTCACGGCCGTACCAAGCCTCGGCCGCCCTACCGCCCGCATGCTCTTCTTGCCGGTGCTGCTGCTGTTGTTGGTCGCGGGGCGCCTCCGCCGCGTTCTGAACCAACACACGGGCGGCGCACAAAGGATGTGGGAGAATGGTGTCATTGCTTCCTTTTCAATGTTGATGGAGAGAAAGCGACGGCAATAGCTACACCTCGGGCACCACCAAGAGCAGCCTCCCCTTGGCAGTGCCCTCACAACAAACACTGAAAATCTATGTCCTCCATCGTCCTCCATGTCGCACCGATCGACGCGACCCCCCCCCCCACGAGAGCAATGTTATTTCTCGCGCTCCTCCACACAAACAGACGTTTTCTTACCGCATGCTGCTCGCCGCCGCGTCTCCTCTGCGACTTGTCGTTTTCCTGCTCAACTGGCGTGAGTGAACCGCTTCCGACTTTACCGATATCATCAGACGATGACTCGCGCGAAAGCCCGCCGTCCCGGTGTCTTCCGACGAGGCCGCCGCCGCGGCTGACGCCGACGCCTATGCAGCCTTCGCCTGGCTCGTTCTCAAGCCCGGTGACATCGCCTCCGTAGCCACCGCTGTCGCTGCCGCCGCCGCCGCCATCCGTCCTCCCGTCAGACGGTGGCCCCGGCTCGTCAGAATGAAGAAGAAGTCGTGCATCTCGCGGGGATACACTCACTCCTCCTCCGTCAAAGCCTTGATTTGGCTGACAACGCCGACCGGGTCTCAAACCCCCCGGACGACGGCCAGTTCCACTGAACGGCGAGGAGGATGCGTCCGTTCCACCGTCATTTTTGTCGTCGTCGTCGGCTGCAGAGATCATTGATGTTGCTGCTGCTGCTGCTGCTGCTGCTGCTGCTGCTGCTGCTGCTGCTGCTGCTGCTGCTGCTGCTTCTCCCGGCCCTGCTCGGTACTCTCGTCCTGACGAACCAGAAGGAGAAGCGCCGCTAGGGCTTGGCGAGGGCCACTCAGCACTCAAGCGGCCAACCGCTGCACGGCTAGTCTCCGCCGAAAACGGGCCACGAAAGGGGGCGTCTCCGTCACCGACTGACGGAAGGCGAGAAGAGGCTAGGTGGTGGGGAGCGGGAGGCGGAAAGCAGGACGGCGCGACACCCGATCCTCTCGCAGCCTCACCCAGGGCACATCGAGCCGAAACTGCGGTACCGCCGGCCGTAGGAGCTGACGATTGGGCAGAGGGGCTTGCGCGAGTCGACGTCGGGCGGGCACTCCACGCATTCAGCCGCAGCCTCCGCGCCCGGGGCCCTTGAAGACGGCCCGCTCCTCCCGGAGGGGCGTCGTTGGCACTGAGTCTTCCGCCGCCGCCGCCGTTGCTACGTCGGGCCCCCGAAAGCATCGACAGGAGCTGTTGTTCAAGCCCGGTACTGGGGGCGGTATTTTCGGTAGTAGCCGAAGTGGTTGCGGCCGTAGCGCTATTTTCGTTATGGCCGACATCGCTGTCGTGTCGTATGCTGTTGGTGCTTTCGTCGTTGTTGCCGTCCCTCGCACCATGCACGGCACTCTCGTGTGGCCAACCATTACCGTGATGCTCCCCGCTTTCTCGCCTCTCTGATCCGCCGCCGCCGCTGCCCGCTGCAGTTCGTGACGCCATCCTATCCGACGATGCGCGCGCGCGGTCAGAAACATTCCGGGAAGCACCCATCGCGAGAGGTGGTGGTGTGGAGCACTGACTTACCACGGCGGTCGCCACTCCCATGGTCCGAATGCCTTCCGTCCCCTCCGCCTGTTCGGGGTCCGCCGTTTCGTCTTTCGGAGCTTTCCTTGGGGACAGCGGGGGGACTTCTGCATGACCGCCAGCAGCAAGCAATTCACGGGCGAGGGCGCGAGGGTCTCCGGATGGGTTGTTGGGGCGGTGGCCGTCTTCACCCCGAACGTCATCACCTTCGTGCCGCCGCTGCTGCTGGTGCTGACGCTGGGGAATTAGCGGTGATCCCCCCGCCAATGGCAACGATCGTCCACAGCCTCCCTCCCGCATGGAACCACTTGTCTCATTCGGGAGGGCCTCGCCTCCATCGCCTGAACCACAGGTCGTTGCGGTTATCGCGGGTGGCGACGGCGGTTGAACCACCACCTCACAATCAGTCGCAATTGCAACCCTGCCGCTGCTGCTGCTTCTGCTCTTGTTGTGGGGGCTGCCGTCCGACAGCCTGTGCTCCACCCCAGGAACATCGGCCGAAAAAGGCTGCGTTGGCGGCTTGTTCTCATCCACGGGCACACCCACACATGTCGCTGGCGCTGCTGCTGCTGCTGCTGAAGTTGATTCCGTCGCCGTGTCCACCGGTGCCACTGTCGACAGCGATTGGGGAGGGGCGAAACTTCCCTCCAGCCCAGGCTCGAATCCGTGCTCCGCGCACCGCAAGAGCCACCCCGCCGTAACGACGGGCACCCCCCACTGGATAGCCCTCTCGAACTTCTCCCCCTTCGCCTGCCGCGACGTCGGGACGGGACGGGACGGGATGGACGATGGCATGGCACACACGCGCCATGTTCAGCACGGAAGACGCGGGTCTTTTGGACAGGCACACACGAAGAAAGAGAAGAAAAACCAATCAAAATACAGCAGATGTGGATCGGAGTGGGTTGGGCGGGCATGTGAGTGTACGTGAGGCTGCCGTCGGCGCCAACAGTGCTAACCGGCTGGACAATGAGAAGATGTGGGGGGAGGGGTGCTTTCATTCGTGACATAAAGCTTGGGCAGTCGTTCTACCGCAGGAGTTATTCCGTTGTTCTTCGTGCAGGGTGATCGTAAGCAAACCAGGAATGCCGTAGGGTGACTTACGACATCACCCACCCTGAGCCGATTTGGAAGCTACTGCATCACGAAGAGGAATCCACCCACACTAACGTTCATGGCACCCTCTCGACGAGACGGCTTCAACACCCCCATTCTCGACACCACCGCTCTCTCGGGTGTGGACCAATCGAGCTTTGAAAATCGGTCAAGGGGATGTGATATCTTGTGTCACCTCGGGTACCCATCTGCGAGATTATCTAGGACGGAGTCAATGGTCACCTGCCTCAATGGAGGAAGACGGGCCGCGTAACTCTCATTAACGGCAATGAAAAAATATTCTGCAACAGCGAACGACATCATTGGTAAGGCAGAAAGCCAAAATCTTCTTGAATCACAGTCAGACGATTCGTTGTTTATTCCACTCATCTGAACCCCCCCGTGCCAAACCTTTGCGGCGAGGATGCGAACCACAGGCGCGCGGGTGCTGCACGTCACAAAGACACTATACTGTTGTTACGCAACGTCGGCAACGCTCACCAAATTCATATATATCTAGAAGTACACGACACAACCACGATGTTCCGGTTCACTCGTCGAAACTCGTTGACTGATCATCTCTCCATGTTTTCCTTGTTCCCTCCTTCTGAGCCACCCCCCCCCCTCGGTGTTTGCAATCGGGGTTGGGTTTTCGTCGCTTGGCAACGACGTTGTAAAACAAGCCGCCCCCCCTGGTGTTTGCCATCGGGGTTGGGTTTTCGTCGCTTGACAACGACGTTGTAAAACAAGCCGCCCCCCCCGGTGTTTGCCATCGGGGTTGGGTTTTCGTCGCTTGGCAACGACGTTGTAAAACAAGCCGCCCCCC